TTAAGCTCTTTCCTTACTCAGTCCCCCTCCTCCTTACCCAGCCCCTTACCCGGCCCCTCCTCCTTACCCAGCCCCTTACCCGGCCCCCCTCCTTACCCAGCCCCATCCTCCTTACCCCAGCCCCCTCCTTACCCAACCCTCCTTCCCTTTCCACTTGTCCTAAACTTCATATTGTCACTTTGTCAATAAACAGAGTCGGTATTGAGGAGCGCGGGGCGAGGATACCGTCTTAACATAAACTCTCTGTCTATTTGCATATTTTCTTCCGTAGTTGAATATGTGAAAGTAGAGAGGAAAGGGAGTGGGGTGAAGAATTAAGGGGAGAAGTGAGAAAGGGAATAAAGTAGGGATAAGGAAGGGGGTTAATAAAGGAAGCGGGATTTAGTGTAAGAGGAATATTGGTTTAATCCTAAGATGGTGATAATCCATTCTCTCTCTCTCTCTCTCTCTCTCTCTCTCTCTCTAAGGTCAGGTATTTTGCACATTGCGAAAATTCCATTAATACAGAACTAAAATCCTGACTATATTATATGAAAAATTCCTCAATGTTCAGTCTTCCTTCCTAAGATAAACCCTTGGCAATATTTCCAAGATGACCCCACATATCCTGTATCACAATCTATGAGAGACCTACCCCATGTATCACAATGACCCCCCCATGTATTGCCATCTGTGAGAAACCTGCAACCATGTATCATAATATAAACGAAATGATCCCCCCTCCCCCACCCCCCATGTGTCGCCATCAGTGTAAGATGACCTCCTCCCTCCCTCAACCATGTATTGTCATCTGTGAGAGACCAACCCCATGTATCACAATATGTGGACACTCGGGGTAGAGAGGAAGGGGGATCAAGTGTCACCATGAGCCCACCCCCCCCCAACATGCGACGCTCCTGACTGCCTCCCACAAATCAATAAAAGCTGTCTGATCTTCCGCCCAGCAGTGGCAAGTTGGTTCCTCATCTTGCTACACTCTACTCCAACACAGTACTCCAACACTATTCTCCAACACTATCTTCTAACACTTTTTCTCCAACACTATCTTCTAACACAATACTCAAACACTATCTCCCACCACTATCCTCCTACACTCCACCACTATTCTCTAGGTGTCATTCAATACTTTACCCCAACATATTTCTTCATCATCCCCCAACACTAATTTCCTGTTGTATTCCCTAAAACTATTCTCCAACATTATCAACTAATATTGTCCTCCAACATGATCTCTTGTCTTGCCTTTCAATACTTTCCTTCGACACACTCCGCCAACACTATACTCCAGGCAATGGTATCAGGTGTCTCGGTATTAGAGCTCAGTGTTTTAATAAGCGACGCCACACCGTTACCAAACACATTCAGCCAGCCAGTCAGTCAGTCAGTCAATCAGCCAGATGGACAGTCTTTTAACCAGTCAGTCCTCCAGAGCCATTTGATCAACCAAGAAACCAGTTAGACTGTCAAAAAAAGAAAGGTAGATAGATATAAAGACTGTCAGACATCCAGTCATTTACTCAACCGGTTATTATTATTATTATTATTATTATTATTATTATTATTATTATTATTATTATTATTATTATTATTATTATTATTATTATTATTATTATCATTATTATTATTATTATTATTATTATTATTATCATCTTTAAAATTATTATCATTATTATTATCAATCGACCATTTCGTTAGCCAGGCAAACAACCTTAAAACGTCATTCAATTTGTTAATTAGTGAAACAGTTAGGCAAGTATATGGATAGAAAAACAAACAGAATGCCAGAAAGACCTTGAGCCAGACATACAGACAGACATACAGACAGACAGGAGGCAAGCAAGCAGACAGGCAGCCGGTTTCTTGACTGGTTCTCGCACCTCGCCTTTAGTTCGGACCTGGGCTGTGTGTGTGTGTGTGTGTGTGTGTGTGTGTGTGTGTGTGTGTGTGTGTTCACGTTACGGTCCACTTCGCCAGTGTTTTGTGGCCTATAAAGTCCCGTGGATTCATGACACATGCAGCAGTAGGGGAGGGAGGGAGATGGCTGGAAGGATGGGGTAGGTAGGAGGAAGGGGAGAGGGGGGGATAGGGGAAAGAGGAGGGGGGGGGAATAAGTAAGAGAGAGATGGACGGAGGGGGTTGGTAGGGAGAGAGGGAGGGGTGGATAGGGGAAAGAGGGAGGGAAGACGGATGGACGGAAGGGGTGGGGGGAGGAGGGAGGATATACCACGACAGACAGGTGTTGGGGAGAGTGAGTGAGTGTGTGTGTGTGTGGGCCTAAACAAGATAGTTTTAAAAGGTGTTGAATAGTGTAGTGGTAGGTTGAAGGTGTGTGTGTGTGCGCGCGAGACTGTAAATTTGCTGGAGTGTGTGTACAGTGCGTGGAAAGGGCATAGGTGTGGAATAGTGTGGATGAGAGAACCGGGCATAGGAAAGGAAGAAGTTTAAGTATGAGAAACGGGTTATAGGTAAAGAAGGGAAGACTTCTGAATGAAAAAAAAGGTATATTGGATTTCAGAACTTCAGAATAATAAGGCATGAAAGCTGACTGGAGATTATATGGAACATTTAAGTTACCCTAGGAATTCCTTATATTCTGTTTTCTTTTATCATCAGCTGCCATATTAGTTACAGAGAACGTAACTTTTGATGGGTAGCTGAAGTATAACTGATCCTATGACCTTTTTTCCTTTTTTATTTATCATTTCACCATTTATCATCATGTTAGCTGGCTGGTCTGTTCTTTGTTATTTGGTTACTATGTCCCTACCCCCTCTTTCTCTGACTTGAGGCAGTAGGCACTTCAGAAGACATCTTAGCGTTTTAAGAGATGAATCGTTACAAATGACGAGCAAGATAAAAATATGCATATTTAGTCCAGAAAGCAAGCTAATTCAGTGACTAGTATCCTCAAATGATAATCTATTACGTTTCTATTTGATGTGAAGGTCTCTTGAAATATAAGAATGTTTACCCTAGAAGATTTTGTCCATTTTCTGTAGTCGGCATCGTAAGGTCGTTTTAGCGGGATAACTGTATTATATTGAATTTCGCGTGAGAATCGTCGCAACTTCGCTAATTCCTCATACATAAACGATATACCATCATTCTATTTCATTGTAAAATTCGTAAATCATAAATTCCTTGTAAAATGGTGCCGAATCTAAGATAGTGGTATTTTGGAATTATCTAAGGTTCAAACCCTTCTTTAATAAACTAAAAGGCCACAGATCCCAAACTAGATTAATGTTTTGGAAATATCAAGAGAAAACAGCTCTAAGTAATATAAATGCAAGTTATGTCATATGTTGATTATTTTTACTTGGCCGGGTAGGTAAGAGTGACACAAATATTACACTAACTCCGTTTTTAACCAACTACCTATTTTTTTATTTTCTTTTATCCTCTTCACCACTGATCGGCTCGTTAGCCGCTTCGGCGATCTTTCACGTCTCTGTTACGCACTGTTGGCAAGTACTGGGCATGCACCGGCTCCTGAATGTACTTGAACCTGCTCCAGTGTTGGTCAAGTCTTGTCTTGAAAGAGCTCACACTCGATGCCGTCACAACACTTTCTGGCAGATTGTTCCAAGAGTTTACAACCCTCACGCCGAACAAGTTTGCCCTCACAGTTTTCTGGACTTGGGGCTTCTTCAATCTTGAGCTGTGACCCTTTGTGGGGCGAGCGTCCGCCAGCTCCAAGTAAGGACACTCGACTGAGTAGTGCCCCCTTGAGATGCTTATACACCTCAATTAGGTCACCCCTTGCCCGTCTGTAGTATAAGCTAGGCAAGTTCAGGCGCTTCAATCTCTCAGGGTAGCTGAGGTGCCGAAGTGCAGGCACCAGTCTGGTGGCCCTACTTTGAACATTTTCAACCAACTGACAGTCCCTAGCATATCTCGGGGATCAGACGGGGTGACAGATGGGGAAGCACTTCACTCTTGAAGATCGTTACGAGGGACGGACCGTCTAGATATCTGAACGACCTTCTTATAAGACCCAATAATTTATTTGCCTGATTTACCTTCTTCTCGCAATGGCCCGAGAACTCAGCTCATTGTCAACATACACACCTAGGTCCTTCTCACTTTCAGTCTCAAATAGTGCAGTTTCTTCATCCCGTTGGGGCATATGATATGCCTCCTTACCGTTGGTACGCCCCAGGTGCATCCTCTCACACTTCGTGACATTGAATCTCAGCAGCCATTTCTTCGACCATTCTTGGAGCCCACAGAGGTCCTTCTGCAGCTCTTCACAGTCGGCTTGGTTCTTGATTTCCCGAAATAACTTGACGTCATCGGCAAACATTTGTATGGAGGAGTGTACAACGTCAGGCATGTCATTTATGAAACAAACAAACAACAGCTTGTGACAGGTGCGGATGATGATTTCGTGCCATTAATCACCACACACTGCTTTCGGTCATGTAGAAAGTCTTCTATCCACGCTAGGACATTTCCCCGAATTCTGTACCCTTCCAGTTTGATTTTCAGCCTTTCGTGGGGTACACTGTCGAAAGCCTTGGCAAAATCTAGGTAACCTATAAGAAATGATGTAAGTAAATTAGGTAATTAGACACAATTTTTCCTTGAGTGAATCTCGCAATAAAACTTCACATTTTTTCCTTCTGTACATAAACATTTATTATTATTTCACATGTTACGATGTCATAATTTTTTTACTATTACACAAAAATCCAGTTACTATTCAAATCTATTTTTATTATCAACATCATTCAACGACTACATAACTACATTAGTCAAAATGATGTAGGTGTTTATAAATGTATTGCTTCCGTTTATTGTAGGCTGCTCACTACCAGTAACAAATGTATGTAGGAATGTAACTACCCACAAAAAGATATTGTTCTCTATTTTCTGGGACACATTTCTTTATCTCTCGCTATCTCTCTCTCTCTCTTTATCTCTCTCTCTATCTCTCTCAACCCGGAACCGCCGTAGTTCAGTGCCTCTCCTGGTGTGTAAGAATCTTTGTAAGTCGCACATCCAAGGTGGGGCCTCCTAGGTGTGGTGGAGACGTGGGGCTTCCAATGATGAACTTGTGTGGCTGCCCTCGTCGAGCACCTTAGCCTGTGCAATGTTTGAAGGCATTGCGTCACTAGCCTTAGATGGAATTGTCTCGGTGCTTTAGGCAAGTAGAGAGGGTGTTTTGTGTGTGTGTGTATGTGTGTGTGTGTTTAAGATGAATGATACTAATAATATCAATAATAATTAACGGTTTATTGAAATAACATGAGTCAAAAGGCTGAAAATGTACAATAAGTTACTTAATTGTAACTAACAAAAATGAGATTGGTAGGGAGTGAAGGCAATGGTTAAGTACGAGTAGTTGAAAACCTTTACAATGGTTGGGACGGGGCTGTTCTCTTAGCGATTAGTACGTGGTGTTATGGACTGGACGCAGTTTTAGTGTTGAATAACAATTTGCGGACCGGGGATTATTATTATTATTATTATTATTATTATTATTATTATTATTATTATTATTATTATTATTATTATTATTATTTTATTATTATTATTTATTATTATTATTATTATTATTATTATTATTATTATTATTATTATTATTATTATTATTATTATTTATTTATTTTTTTACTGAGATGGCAGTATCAGGTTTACACGCATGACAGTCGTAGTGTTTCTCAGGGCCTGCCGACACCTGTCCTCACCCAGGCAATCTATACCCAGCAACACCCACGTTGTACCGTGTCACACCCATACCCATATACACACTCATTTCATTCTTACACCCTCTCACTACACAACCCAGTGACTGTCTTTTTTTGTCTAATAATTAAATTGATCAGGTATTCTGCAAATAAAAACACAAAAGCAAGCACTCATTATACTATACAGCGTGTTGCCAAGTGTACATTTATTAATCTTATTTCTTCTTATCACCAGAACACTCAAGATAGACCATACGGAGAGCTCATCTTGTGACTTTGTGGTTATCACTGTCAGTTCTCGAGTCCGTATCAACCTCAGTCCCACGCTTCTCACCAACAGCAGTGTCAAGTCCAATGCCATCAATAGTGTCATAAACATCAACATAACTATTGACACTAACAACATTACCATCACCCTCAGCAGTAGCAATACCAGCAGAAGCATGCACAGGAACAATGTTTACTTCTGCAGGCTGTTCCTCGCTGCTTGGTTTTCTATGGCAGCGTTGGGCGACCAGCAAGAGGCTGTGCTGACTGATGTGGTAGATGACACCGCCTTACCTGTGGAGAGTGTAGACAATGCCGCCGTGCCTGTGGAGTGTACAGAAGACGCCCCTGTACCCATGGATGGTGTTGAAGTCGTCATTGTACCTTTAGAGGGAGCAGGAGACGCACCCAGTAAGGTCGAGCCTGTGGAATACATAGGAGCTGTACTGGAATACACGCCCTATAGTGACTGGGACGCTGGAGGCCTGGCCATACTGAAGGAGAACGCCCGCATGTACCTGGACTATGCCGCCCTGGCCAAAATACAGGTGAACGTCCTTGGTCTTTAAGCGTGTTAGGTTTGGAGGATCAGGTTATGATGACTAGTTGTACCAGGTTATGATGACTAGTTGTACCAGGTTATGATGACTAGTTGTACCAGGTTATGATGACTAGTTGTACCAGGTTATGATGACTAGTTGTACCAGGTTATGATGGTTAACTATAACAGGTCTGAGTTTTACGTTTCATTTTTGCAGTGAATTGCATTTCAGTCGCATAATATGATTATTTATTGCAGTAGTTCTCAATGCATCGTAGTTATTGTATTTAAATTTTACTGTATTGTATTATATTGTATTCTACTATTGTGTATTCTATTTTGTATTTGCCTTTAGTAATATCATGTATTGGTATGTGACATATTACGTTGATATTTTGGAATCGTCTTTTACTATATAAGTTTCGAATAGCAATTCATTACACTAGTATGATTTTGTTAAGTTAGGTTAGGTTAGGTTATGATTTATGTATATTATTGCATTATTCAGGAGGCGGACATCATAGTGTTTCCTGAGTGTGGTCTGACGAGTATCAACGTGACGGGCGGTGACTTCATGAGCTTGACTCAGGTGGTGCCCAACCCACTGGACCTGGCCATACCTTGTGATTTTCAAGACATCACTAATTACACACAGGTACAGTTCCGTTAAGAAGTTCGTTATACACCCGTTACACCCTTCCTCTGTTACAATAAGCCCGTTAATTAGTGTTTGGGTGTAATTCTTTGTTTAAACGAGAGGGAAATTTACACTTCCATACATTTCCTAAAGATGATGAACTAAGATACAGTGGATTAACCTCGGTAAGATAAACGATAACATCAGTACCAATAATGCCAGGATATGCAGTCTTCATTTTGAACCAAGTGCCTATGAGTACTGCACTTGGGCCTCCAGTACCAAAATCACAAATAAAATTCAAAGTTCCGTCGATCAGGATTTTTCTCTGGTATTTACAGCTAACAATAGTGAAAAATTTGTACTAATGTTTTTGTGTTGTATTATTAAGAGAATGATATAAAACCTGGAATACATCGGCATGAAACAGTGAATTAATATTGGGAATAAAGTAGATAATGTTGTTGGTTTTATCTCCAGAAGTGTAACAAACAGTACACAGGTTATATACAACAACATCTGACACTTGTTAGACTCTACCTTGATAATGCTCAGAAGAATAAGTTAAATAATTCTGGGGTCTTAGAAACCTCCCATATAAATACTGTATAGATACAAACTTAGTCTGAATTCCCCAGAAAGACGAGTGGTGAGCGTGGATACTTTACTGTTAAAGTAACTAGTAAGGCCAAGTGCTTTTGCACTTTATAGTGCATCTATTCCCTGGAGATTATAGAACTACCACTTCCGGCGGGTAGTGAACAGCGCTGCCAGAGGCTGAAAATCTGCATCCCACTGTATAAACATTATAACAACTAATAAATGTGATTATATACATTCTTCATAACTAAGTTGAAGTTGCAATACAAACATTCACATGATAACCCAAAAAATCTTTAAGCAGTGCGTATACATCTTTCGAGACACCCTGTATATATTAACCACTCCAACGTTAGACTACGAACTACAATATAACCTCATAACATTTTAAGATTATAGGCCAGTTGAGTGTCTCGGTAAATGTCTTGACGCTTGAAGCAGTTACGTGGAGTATAGTCTCGGTCACACGGCATCAATCATTGTGAGTGGAGAAATTGCTTAGTTGAAGTGTGATGATAAAACTTCTCTGAAGCGCATACAATCTTTATTCACCTTTAATGATTCGCCTTTAGGTGATGAAGACGCTGAGTTGTGGAGCTAGGGAACTTGAGATGTACCTGGTGGTAAATTTGAGTGAACAGGAAGACTGCAGGAACACTACTCAACCCAACCCAGAACCAAGCCACCCACACGGTTACACCCACGGCAGGGAAAAGGACGAGGTGAAGAGACGAATATATGAACCTCTCTCCCAGTTCAAGATGACTACAGAGAACCTAGCTGTGTCTGAAGGCTGTCTTGAGGAATCCAGTGACGATCCAGAAGGGACTGACAGAAGTGTTGGAGAGTGTCCCTCCTCTGGCTACCTCTTCTACAACACCCAGGTTGTGTTCGACCGTTCAGGTGCAGTTGTGGCCAGGTGAGTTTTGCCACTATAGTAAAAAGCCATTGTGTGTACGCTGAACTAAATCTTGCTGTTATGCACAAGACAAACTCAACCCACTTGTCTATTATAGAAATCAAAAGAACAGCTAGTAGGTACCAAAACTTGCACCCTTTGAAACTACCAGATTAACAATTGTCTATTACAGATGAAAAAACACTTGTCTTTTGTAGGTACCGCAAGAAACACCTGTACCTGGAATCGCAGTACACACCCGGGACAGAAGAGGACACCACTGCAATCTTCACCACCGATTTCGGAGTCGCCTTCACTCTCCAGGTATTAGCAATAACTTTCTCCTGCCCAAGTGAGCGCTCAAACTAACTCTTCCGTCTCCCAAAGTGTGTGCTATACTTGCCACCCTCTCAAACTCTCTTATGTGCTAAAGTTGTCTCCCTCCCTCAGGTGTGCTTTGATATCATGTACATGGACCCAGCGGTGAATAACGTGTTGGAAAGAGGCGTGATGGACGTTGCCATGAGTACTGCCTGGATTGATGAGCTGCCTTTCCTGACAAGTAATTCATGCTTTCCTTGTTTGTGTGTGTGTGTGTGTGTCAGAAATCATGAATTTTATGATGAAATTTACTAAATTGTTAACCAAATTATCATGTTACACGTTAGTCTTCGCCAGACGTGGATACGATGTGTAACATTATTGCATGTTTCTGATGATTAGTTTCAGAAAATGGAACGTTAAATATTCGTCTTTTAATTAGAGAGGAGTGAACACTTAAGCCATGACGCAAACTTTGATGTTATTAGATGTGTTCTCTTGGCAACATTTACAAGGAAGATATAAACTTAAAATTACTTTGAGAATCTGTTCAGTGTTTTGCTAACATAACCCAATTGTGACTCCAGCTCCCCAGATCTTTAATGGATGGAGTACGGGCCTGGGTGTTAACCTGCTGGTGGCTGACTACCATGACGTCACCTCTGGTAAGCTGGGCTCCGGGATCTTCCGAGGGGTGAACTCACACACGTCTGATTACATTTACGATCACCAAGGAGGCTCGTCGCTTCTGGTAGGTCGTGTGTCAACGCTCGGAACTCGACGGGCAGAACTCCCAGAAGATGGTAGACCGAGACCAAGAGAAGAAGAAGCTCCTGAGGGTGCTAGTGAGATCCACGACGACGCTTCAAGACAACGTCCACCGACGGCGACATACTACACCCACCAGACACACTTCTACACCGACGAAACTCATAAATACAGTGTGGGTTTAGAGGATCCACCCAACGTGTCTTATCCACGGGATAATGAGCAAAACACAGAGCAAACTACGATCAGCGATGATATGTATTTCATGCACGAAGATTTGAGTCTATATAATCACTACGTGTTAGACAGAGCAGATGCAAATATTTTGTTTGTAAAGACGCTGTGCCACAATGACAGTCTGTGCTGCACCGTGGCTTATTCTTACTCAGACGACGACGTTGAGGAGGGTTTGTACATGCTCCTGGCATACAGCGGCGTGGTGAAGAAGGGTGGTGGAACCTACAGCATGTTTACCCAAGTATGTGCGATCGTCTTCTGCCTGAGTGAAGACGTTATGGATTGCGCGCGCATCGAAGGCCAGAACCCACGAACGTCCTCATACCACACGTATGAGCTGATTGGAACGTTCGCCACGCCATATGTCTATCCGTCCGTCTTTACCCAGAAACTGACTCTCATTAACGAAACTGTCTGGACGTTCAACAACACAATCGTGAACGAGACGAGAAATGATTGCAGCATCTACTTGAATGATCCGGTTCCCGATCTACTGTCACTGACGATGTTTGGTCGATGGTTTGAGAGGGACCCCCAGGAGTCGACGAGAACGGTATAAAGCTCTCTCTCTCTCTCTCTCTCTCTCTCTCTCTCTCTCTCTCTTATTCATATACTAGCGGAATCGCCTCCCTCCGGGCGGCTCTTTCGCTAGGTTCAAGATTTCTTAAGAGCATTATAGGAGTTCCAATCTTGAGAGTGAGGTGGTGAGGAGGCATTCCAGCGGGCTCCAAAGAATTAAGTGTTACGAGTTGGGGATTTAGAATATAGTTATACGTCTACCCAGATCCCAACAGGTAACAAAAAAACAAAACAAAGACAATCGGACTATAAAAGGGTAGACAAAGGATGCGAATTTTCGTTGTGTATAATAAAGTACCATGAATCCCTTAACAAAATATTCAGCTTATAAATTACCCTTAACCAAACTTAACCTAAACATTAACAGTATATACATATTAATAAAACATAAAACAATCTTGAAGCAAGTGGACGTGGGGGAGGCAATACAAGATACAAGTACTTAAGTGAGGAGCTGAGATGGCTGACGAGTAAGGCTGAGTATTGTAGAAGACGGTAAATAGTCACTGTCCGTAGGTTTAGAGGATAGATGATCCTGTGGTCACTTCCCAGAGCCAAGTTCTCTCTCCTCGAATTGGAGCTCACAAAGAAGACTTGGAGGAAGTGACGCAACAACCAGGATATGGAGAAGGGAAACCCCGGAGTGTTAACTAAGACGAGTCATACTCGTGTCTCGTCCCTAGATGGCCTTGCTCGTGGTGCTGGGTAGGTAGATCAGGACAATAGATGGCGTGGTTCGTAGTGCTGGGTGGAGGGGTTCGTAACATAAGGAATTCTGCATGGTACTGGACTGCTTGGTCCTGGTCGATTACTGTATCAACAGATTTGAATGAGGTCTCACTGCCTGGAAGCTGTCTGAGTAGAGTCATGTTGATTTCAGCCAATGTTTCATTCTTTGGTGCCAGAATTGCGCGTTCACGCAGCCACTTGTGATCCTTGTAGTGGTGGATAATGTTTGGGTAGACCATGTTAGTGAGCTCAGTTGAGGACTTTACAACATTTCCACATCCTTTTCAACCTCTGTGTGGTTTAACGGGTCTGGTCGGGTTGGGTGTGTCGGATCGGGTTGGTTGGAGTTTTTTTTTTGAGATCCCCACATGACACTTGCTATCCATGCCAAGTTTGGTTCGGGCGCCTCATTCGCTAGGCCACGGTAGGACGCCACCCTCCGGGAGGCTCCACATTGTCTCACTGTTCAGTCCCCAAAACTTCTTCTTTCATCATTAGTTCATTAACGGTGTATGTAAGTTCCACTACAACGGTAAAGCAAAGTATATTCTTTTAGCATTAAACTGTTATTATTTTATTGTCTAATCATCACTACATATAACACCAACCATCATCATCACTACATATAACACCATCCATCATCACTACATATAACACCATCCATCATCATCACTACATATAACACCATCCATCATCATCACTACATATAACACCATCCATCATCACTACATATAACACCATCCATCATCACTACATATAACACCATCCATCATCACTACATATAACACCATCCATCATCACTACATATAACACCATCCATCATCACTACATATAACACCATCCATCATCACTACATATAACACCACCCATCATCACTACATATAACACCATCCATCATCACTACATATAACACCATCCATCATCACTACATAACACCATCCATCATCACTACATATAACACCATCCATCATCATCACTACATATAACACCATCCATCATCATCTACATATAACACCATCCATCATCATCACTACATATAACACCATCCATCATCACTACATATATCACATCATCATCACTATATAACATCATCACTACATATAACACCATCCATCATCATCACTACATATAACACCATCCATCATCATCACTACATATAACACCATCCATCATCATCACTACATATAACACCATCCATCATCACTACAGATCGGTAAAGTAGGTTCCGAGATTCTCGTGCGGACACAGAAACACACATACTTCTTTGTTTTATATATATAGATAGATTCTTAAGGCAACAGTTGAATAGTTTTGATAAATCTGGCCATAGATCTCTTTAATCTACTCCCTAACTTTGAGTATCAGTTATTATAAAACTTTGTTATATTACATTTTGATAAATAAAACAGTTATGGGTTCTCGCTTCTTGTTATATCCTTTTTATGAACGATTTAGAGTAACAACAACCTATTTAGCTATCTTGTGTCTAGTTTTCATGTCCTCCAGTCTTGACGTGTGTGTGTGTGTGTTTAAAACCACCTTTCATAACCAGTTATTGAAGTGTCAAGAGGAAACTTTATGCCTGTGCTTGGAAACGAAGTAGTTCATTACTCATGCTAGTGTCGGTGTAACACTGATTTATTATGCATTGACGATTAATTGTTCCTTTGGGGGAAATAATTACCGCGACTGGCACATGGTCATCCTCCTGTAGTGAGAGAGAGAGAGAGAGAGAGAAAGAGAGGTCCAGGTTTGATGTTGCCTTAAATAAGCTAAATGCCAGTTATATGGGTGTGAGCCGTGGTCAGTCAATAAATAGAGGGGGGGCGGCTGCTGTTTCAGGGTACGATGACTCCTTGACTCCTCGGCTGTCTCCCGTGACCCCACATCTCCTCCTAGTTCCCTTCCCCATGTTCCGTATTGCCTTTATCCAAGTTATCACATACAATAGGATCAGAAATAGTCTCAAAGTATCGTCTGTTGCGTTTTTCTCTGTAACTTCTCCTGGTTGTAACTTTTAGGTCTTAGTAGAGGAAACACAAGCTACGAGTTACTTAAGCCCTGGCATGAGACAACTGTCAAGCGTAAGGTGAACTGGGTCACTATCTCGCAAACAAACGTTATCGACGCGTCTTCAAAATTCACCATTTATAGCCCACAACAATGTTTATGTTCGATGGAGAGTGGACAGCTTACATTGCAGCATTATATTAATACTTTATTTCCTCCAGGGAAACAGTTTTAATTTAGGTGGAAACACTCTTTGCTTTATGTATAACGCTACATATTTGTGGTTGTGGATTTAAGGACCAGAATTCACAAATTACTCCTCCCCCCGCTCACCCTCCACGCATCCCCCCCCCCCACCCCTCTAGCGAGGTGTGGTGGTGAGGCGAGGGTGTAGCGACGGTAAGTACTGGCCTTGCCACTGTTGGCGTCGGAGCTGTGCCGCGGTTCTCCCACTCTGCAGCAGCGACGATTATATGTTGTCTCACATCACCGGGGATTAATGACGTAGCAAGAAGATTCTTGGAAACTCGCCTCTAATAAGCCATCCTCCAGCTTGACCTTCCTGAGTTACTAATAACTCGTGTATGTTGCGTGTAGGCAGAGTTAACATCAGAGCTAACGGCGATGAGTTTTTGGAGTGGATGGTGGTGGTGGGTGGTAGCAGTGTGCCAGACTGTGGTGGGGGCGAGTATAGTGGTGCTGCTGCTGCCGCTGGTGGTACCCTGCTTGCTGCTGTTATGGGCGTGGCGGTGTATTGCGCTGTTGCTGGTGATGGCGACCCACAAACGTGTGGTGCACGTAGCCTCTGGGATGGAGGCACTGTTTGCCCTGGACTCAGAAAGTGCAAGGGCAGTGATCAGCGGAGTGACAGTACTGCGAGGAAAGGTAAAGGTGGCCACTGTCCGAAAGCTTCTAGCTGAGCGAATCACTGACGTCCGTGATGACCGTGGCTGCTACAGACACCCGAAGTTCAGGCAGGTGTTGGAGAAACGCTGCGGAGTGGTGGTGTGGATGTGGGAAGGCAACTTCCACGTAGACAGTCATGTGCGAGAGTTACGAGTAAACTGTCGCCCGCGATACTTCCAGGATGAAGACGACATAAGAAAAGAAATGAGCGCCCGTGCTAACCTTCCCTTCGTGCGTGGCCAGTCCAGATGGGAGGTCCTTGTAGCTCCTGTGAGAAGATTTGGCGTTCCCGAGAACTGCTGTAAGGAGTGGACTCACACAGCGGTGATAGTGAGGCTGCACCACGCCCTGGGCGACGGCCGCTCAATGGTGGGTCTCATAGTGTCAGCACTGGTCGACCCTCCCTTGTCTGACCCGAGACCCTCACCTGTAGCCCGCCCCTCCAGGGCCGGCTGTATCTTCCGTGCTGCCCGCTTCCTGTGGTCGCTGTGTCACCTGCCGTGGGTGGTAGTAAGGGTACTCACACGGGGCGACGCCTCGGTGTTGCATGGTTCCAAACTTGGGGGAGAGAAGTTCCTTGCTTGGTCTCCGCCACTCTCTTTGGCCGCCCTTAAACACGGGCGTGCTCTAGCGGGTGTCTCCGTCAACGACCTTCTGCTGGCAGGCCTTGCTGCAGCGCTCAACAGGTACTCATATTTCCCTTGGAAGCTGATACAGTGAGCGTCGCGAACACCAATAAATCAATATAAGAACTGCACTGTACTCAAACAGATTTTTGCGATACGTTATTACCTTTCGTTGGTGCAACCACCGTACTCTGTAAATCCCTGTATATCATTTTCAATATTGCACAGTACTGCTGTTAATTCGTCTGTATTTAATACGCTTTGCCATAAAACATAGACCATACACATACAGTGACACATAGAGATTGAACTAATTCAAAGAGTTTTTGATGAGTGGCTAAAATTATTAAATACTTGTGGGTGAGTGGAGAGGTAAGAGGCTAGAGAATAGACGTGATTAGTACAAATGTGAGTAAATAAAGTGAATGGCGGAGAGCAGGTACCATATGGGTATGTTGAAGATGATGGTAACACGCACGCACACGCTCGCACGCACACACGCACGCACACGCAAGCACACACACACACACACACACACACAAGAGCAAATAGGTCGAAATCTATATCTCAGTAAGGAGTCTCACCTGAATTATTTCACCAACAGGTACTTCAAGGACGAGGGGGTCGACGTGCCACCACAGGTTATGGCCGTGTTACCTGTGGATGTGACGGCCCCAGGTACACCCATCTCCCTCGCGAACCGCATCTCTCTCTGCACTGTGCCACTGCCTACCTGTGAGTATATGAAACCGTCCGCCCGTACCTACCTTTGAGTATGTCCCTCTATAGTGTGACTACATCTTTCCTCTGAGTGCCTCTCTCCCTCTACACGTGTGAGTGCATCTGTCCACACCACCTGTTAATATGTCCTTCCGTCCCAACTAAAAGGGTAAGTTCTTTCATTCCCACCTGTCTTCCCTCCCCACCCGTCTTCCCTCCCCACCCATCTTCCCTCGCCACCCATCTTCCCTCCCCACCCGTCTTCCCTCTCCACCCGTCTTCCCTCTCACCCGTCTTCCTCCCCACCCGTCTTCCCTCCCCACCCGTCTTCCCTCCCCACCCGTCTTCCTCCCCAGTCTTCCCTCCCCACCTGTCTGCTCGTCTTCCCTCCCCACCCGTCTTCCCTCCCCACCCGTCTTCCTCCTCACCCACCCGTCTTCCCTCCCCACCCGTCTTCTGTCTTCCCTCCCCACCCTGTCTTCCCTCCCCACCCGTCTTCCCTCCCCACCCGTCTTCCCTCCCCACCCGTCTTCCCTCCCCACCTGTCTTTTCCTCCCCACCTGTCCCTTCTCCCCACCTGCCCTTTTCCTCCCCACCCGTCTTTCCTCCCCCCGTCTTTTCTCCTCCCCACCCGTCTTCCCTCCCCACCCGTCTTTCCTCCCCACCCGTCTTTCCTCCCCACCCGTCTTCCCTCCTAGGTGTTTAAGATAATCGTCCTGACAAGTCCTCACATTTTGAATCTTAGTCATTGTCACAATTTTTGAATTGTTTTGTTTTAGTTCCTCATCTGTTCTCCAAATCAATAGTTAAACATTTGAGATAGGGAACAAATTGATATTTACATTTTAACTATTCACTATGTGTACTTGTAAACACTTGGTCGCGCCAATACTAGTTATCGTTAGTGGAGCATGTAAAAATAATACCTGTAAATCTTAGCGTACAGGATGCTCTTAAATTCTGTGTACACTTTTAAATTGCAATAACTTTGTAAACACATAGTAGAAACAATTTGTAATTTTAAAATTTTTTTTGCACATATTTCTAGTGTTGGATACATGTTGAGACAGGTTATAGGACCAGTAAGTTAAACACAGGGTAATGCCGTAGACATTACATATATACAATTACAACAACAACCGAATAATAGTAATAATTACAGTATGGAAATAAAACATCAATATAACTTTATTGCCGAGTTTTTCCATACAGGTAAAATCTCTCTCCCTCCCAGACTAAGATGAGAATGTTTCCTTCCTCCACCTACAGGCAGAATGTCTCGCACCAGCCGCCTGATGACGGTCCATCGCCGCCTCAACATCCTTAAGGGATCTCCTGATATTTTGGTTAACTACCTCGCCCTTGACCTCATCTCCAACCTTCTACCAACGCCTCTGGCTCGACGGGCTCTCTCTACCCACGGGGTCACCATGGTTGCTTCCAACATGCCTGGTAAGTTAACAGGTACTCCACCTCCTCTCTCTGGAGGGTGGCAGAAGGGTCCTCTTTTATAAGGGGGTGACACATATATATATATATATATATATATATATATATATATATATATATATATATATATATATATATATATATATATATATATATAGAACACACACACACACACACACACGTGGGTGTGTGGGTGTGTGTGTGTGTGTCTGTATCCGCGAGAAGGTATATGTATATGTCTGAGTACATATATACTGCAAGTATGTGTGTGTATGTTTGTCTGACCCTCCACCAGATGGAAGCAATAGGACTTCCTCGTTGCAACAGGTAGCCACCCGGGGAAACCTTACCTGTTGACCACAAGGGAAGGGAGGTAAGGCAGGATTAAGGTGGGTGTGTGTCCACTGGTAAGGATGGGGAGAGTGTTTATATCAAGTGACGGGGAGGAGGTTGGTATGGAGGAATGGGGAGAATATTTTATTGGAGAGGGGTTAGGAAGGATGTTGAAAGGGAAGGTTGGGTAGTAGGCTGAGGAAGCGTCCCTTACATTTACGGGATACCTGCCTGTGTTTTCACGGGGCGGGGGCGTGATGCTGTGAGGACCCTTGTTCTTAGGGGTGCATTGTTTCAGGGTTAGTATTATAAGGGGGTGACAATTATTGCGTTCATTTATTATCACTGTTCGGGGGCGTCGTGTTCACTGGTGCAGTGCTCTGAGAAACCCCATATATCCTGGACCAGAGTCTTAATATTCTCAGGGTCCCTGGTGTTCTCAGGGCTCAGGGTCTCAGTTTTCTGTTTGTTTTTTTCCTGCTACAACGTTTGGGTCTTGAAGAGTTACAAATGAGGTGGAGACCGTCACGGGAAGCCTCACAAGGCTGAGTAAAGAGGTATAAGTAAGAACACCTTTTTGGACACGTCTAAGTTGGAACGACTGACTTACAAGAGTAGCAATGAAATCACTGGGGAGAAGTGCAGTTCCGTTCAGTATTTCGTGTACACTGACAGAAGAAGGAGCATTGCTTGTTGCACCTTTTTCAGTGTTTCCTATTTCTGTTCTTGAAGGGGAGTAGATGGATGCATGAGTTTCGCTTATCTAGTCTTTGTAGTGATAGTAATAACGTTTTTTTTTTCTAATTATATTTAACTTCTGTTTCTGTATCCTTATTTTGGATTAAATCGGACGTTGTTTACTCACGTGTTTCCACCTTTCAGGTCCAAGGGAGCAAATCCACCTGTTTGGGGAGCCGGTTGACGACATCATGTTCTGGATACCCAACAAAAGTCGAACAGGTAAAATTCTGGTTGTTATAATAATTATAATGACGGTAATAAGAGTAATAGTGACATTAACTGTAATAATAAAGGTAATTATCGCTTTAAGAATAACAACTATAACAGTGATAATGATGATGATGATGATGATGATATTATAAAGAAAGCGATTTAGAATTAATGAATATATAATCAAGTTGTGCAACAATTCCGTATACATGTGTTTGATCCTCTCAACCGTGTTGTGTTGCATACGGTCACTTAAGTAGAATTGTAAGTGTTAAACGATATCAAAATGCCCGTGATAGAGTGAAGTGTGTGTGTGTGTGTGTGATACTTAATGTTTATTGTGTTATGATTTATGTGCATAATATGTATAATAATAATCATAATAAATAATTAACGGTTTATTGAAAGAGCATGGCAGCCGGAATGCTGAAAATATAGTTATATTGATTGACAAATAATATACAAGTAACGTAAGTGATACAAATATGATATATAATTACTAGGTGGGGAGAAGGTTGTACTACAGGGCATTTCAACATAGTGACAGTGCAACAAGGTAAGATTGGCTGGGAGTGAATACACTGGTTGATTACGAGTTTTTGATAATTTTTACAATGGTTGGGACTGGGCTGTTCTTATTGCGATCAGTATGTGCTCGTATGGGCTGGATGCGGTTGTGGTGTCGAACAGTATTTCACGGACGAGGGACCTCGTTTGGAAGTAGGAGCCGGTGTCGAGGATGGTGCAGATGCTTCTCACCAAATTTGTAGATGAGGTCTTGGTGATGGTCAGAGAGAGCCGAGAGGGTCAGAGTGTTGAGTGCTTCATGATATGTGGAGTAGGAAGGGAAGAGAATATTCTTGCAATGCCCTCTTCTGCAATTTTTCTAGGTGTTTACGTTGTGTGGCATTTAGGGAGGAAGACTAGGTAGGGAAGGCATTGGTGAGCTTGGGAAGTATGAATGTTGAGTAAACACTGAGGAGCTCGGATGCAGGAACTCCGAGGGACTTCAGTTGGCGCAGGAGGTGGAGACGGAAACTGAAGATTTGACAACTGTACTGACGTGTGTTTTCCAATTTAGTTTATCTATAGTGACGCCGAGGAGCTTAGTAGAGTCTACAACCTGGGGTGTGTTCGGGCCTAAAGTATATATGTATGTATGTATGTATGTATGTATGTATGTATGTATGCATTCTACCCAGCAGTAATTGGGAACCTTGATGTTAATCTATTTGCGAATCGCGTTCCGGGGTAATGGTTAGCCAGTGCAGTTGGTGAGCTGTCCGGCCTTCTCAGACTAATCCTTGACGCTGGGTCAGGCAGCTCGTTAACTCAGGGTGTGGTTGTTGTGTTGGCAACAGCTTCTACACCTTCAACAAATTCACGCCTTGGTGGCCCTTGGGCGGGTCATCTTCGTTACACGAGGTGGAACCATTATTATGCATGAATGTTTACTGACGACCTGTGGTGTAATGGTCAGCATGCTCGCCTTGCTGCTTGAGCGAACGCGGGTTCGATCCTCTAGCAGGGTGAAACTATGGGCAAGTTTCTTTACGCCATTTGCCTCTGTCTACCCAACAGTATTTGGGTACCTGGATGTTAATTGATTTGCGGATCGTATTCCGGCGTAATGGTTAGCCAGGGCAGTTGGCGAGTTGTCCGGTCTTTTCCGACTATTCCTTGACACTGGGTCATGCAGCTCGTTATCTGAGGGTGTGGTTGTTGTGTTGGCGACAGGTTCTACACCTTAAACAAATTCACGCCTAGGTGGCCCTTGGGCCGACCATCCTCGTTACACGAGGATCAACCATTATTATTATTTATTATTGTATGTATAAATGTGTGCCTGAATGTACTCATGCTCCCTTTTTCTTGATTTGCATTTGTTAACGTGCACGCGAGAAGAAAGAACTACCAAAAGAAATATTTGAATAAATTTCACGTGTATTTAAGGAGGTAAGTGTAACTCCTCCATATTATAGCGACCAAGTTCAAATCTGTGTTGCTGTGAGTTCGTAGAAAGTTAACTTTGTTTCATAATAGAACGACTCCCGTACTAGTGTAAATGTAACAGCGATTCTCTCCCGTTGAGCTCCAGATGTACAGTACGGCAACCAACTTCATTCTTGTAGTATTGAGTTATACACAAATAGTCAGCAAACATGTCCACACTGTTTATGTATACGGAAATAACAGACGATAGAATTAGTCGCAGATACATTTCATGAAGAAGGAATAAGCGGTCGACAAGATGAAGACTTCACAACAAGGCAGCAGGCACCTATCCCCACGCTAGCCCCATGGTGTAGTAAGCTCTAAAGGTGGGCTGCAGGCGTAAGACTACGTAAGGAATTGAGGTGACGTTGCCAGGCGTTGTGCCACAGTCCGTGCAGCCAATCCCCTGACAAACTAACACATAGCACCTGTTAGCTGCCAAGCTGCCAACACTCTGCTGAGCACGAGACGAAGCTGCCGTCTAGGCCTATCCCGAGACCATGGTGCGTCGCGAGACATGAGTGGGCCTCCCTAGCAGTGCATGTGGCGGTAACACTAACATAATTATAAATAATAGTAACATGGTGTTATCAAAACGTTAGCATATATCTCTGTGTAAACATGCGGTTTTCGTTAGCAATTTGTAAGTATCCAACAGACGAAGCAGAGTCCAAGAACTAGTCGTAATAATCCTGTAATGAATAGTGAAAATTCCTTTTATATTTACTGGTAGTGTATATATAAACAATAAATACAACATGTCCTCATTAATAACTGCTACTGCAGGTCTGGGGGTGTCCATGTTGAGCTACTGCGGAATCGTTCGCCTGGGGCTCAACGTCGACTCAGCTCTCATACCAACGATGAGTCTGGCGCAGCAGCTGTTGGACCATACTACCATAGAGGTCAACAACACCTTAGTTGAACTGATGCCCATCAAAGACACGAAACCAGAAGAGCTCCACTGCCCCCTTCACTGTGAACTGCAGCTCATAGATAACGACAGCTGCAGCAGTGAAGTGTCGCACGTGGTCACTCACAGCACAGATGAGTATGATAACGAGCCGGATAGAAGAGTATTATCAAGTGACTATTCGGAGATGCAATACAGTTCCGACACGAGGATAATCTGCGATTCTTTCAGTTCTCTCGGCAGTAATTGTGACTGTGCCTCTGAGGATCAACATCTCCTGGGAGGAGACTTAAGAAAAAGTAAATCACAATCATTGGTAAAGGCCGGCTTGGAATCGCCAAACAGATTTCTCAATAATTTTCAACACAGGTTCGTGCAGAGTGACATCAACCTGAAATTTACGGACAATGATCAAGTTCAGGACAGATGAAACTAAGTCCAGGTACTTATCCTAATTACGTTTTCCAGTGAGAGCCACAAGGTGAGTGCCATTTTTCTCCTTTGTATCTACGTTTTAGTTCAGGTGTTAAGGGGAAATGCTCGCAATGGATAGTGGTTGAGCCGACATTGTGTTCAGTACTCAAGAAGTTTCCTTTTACCTGGAAGGAGAAGAAATAATAATCTAAAGGTAGATGAAAACACCTAAATGGACTGTATTTGGAAGAAAAAAAACTACAGTTTTAGGAATTGAAAGGAAGACGTGTGCAGAAAGTGAAATTCTCTGCCATAGGGTGCAAGTAATACACCGTGAGAAGATGGAGGACTATTTTAAAGTTTTCTCAAGAACGTGTTGACAAGAGAGGTGGAGTAATATAATATGAGCTTCCACATTACCTTTCTTGCAACTCAATTGCATCTACCTGTGATTATATTTTATATAATTCTAAATTTCTATCTTTGCACTATTTTCACTCTGATACTCGGGAAATATAAAAGAAAATCATGAATTGCCGAACTAACTTGGAACTTGCAAATCAGAGGGAGAACTTGACAGACGCCATCCAAGTATAATATTACGTGCACGAGTTACATGACTGTGATGGTCGAGAACCATGTATCCTTAATTAAACTTGACATTATGTATATAAGTAATGAGGAGCAGCAGACTTACGGGACCTCGAAATACTCAAGAGTTATATAGAACACCGAGGAATGGTTTTTGAATTAATATTAAAATTACTCCGATAGTCTTGTCACTTTCTAACTCCTTACACAAACAAAAATAAATGTATTTCTTATCACTTGTAAACTAATTCAAGTAGTGCTGGTAATAATTAAGTTAAAAGTGACCAAAATTCACAATGTACAATCGAGACGTGTTTTTCTACTAGGGGCTCCTATTTGAGGCACTCCTGCATGTCGTTAAGGATGTTTTTGACTTATTCTCGTGAAGCCATTGAAAGTTTGTGTAAAACTCATTATGTAGTATATGTCATTTGCCTTTTTACTGCAATAAGAAGTAATGGCCCGTACGCAAAGTTCTAATGACCTCACGAGAATAAGTCAATAATGTCCATAATAACAAAGTTACTCCTGGAGACGTGCTTGCCAGAAGTGTTCAACCAGACGATCATGTTCCCGCCCACAGTTTAGAATTGAATTAGTTGAATAAGACCTGTAATCTGTGCTTCAAGAAAGTGGTATATGCTATAAGTATATATCGCCTTCTTATGGTATTTACGCTGCTGAACACCGTTGGGTATAGTGAGTACTTCGATGAGTAACTTCGTCTTCAAAGAAAACGATTGTGATTGATGGGATGCTTACCAACCCAGATAATGAGTATCAGAAAAGGTCTTCAGCAGTAAAGGAGTGATAATTAATGATCGCACGTGATATAACATGCATCTACTAATATATAGGCACGTGTGTGTGTGTGTGTGCGTGCGTGCTAGCAATCTGTGTACAAATATTATAGATATTAGTAATAATAATGAACGGTCTATTAAAATACAGCACCAATGAGTTGAAAATATTCAAAACACATCAGTGGTACGTATATAACACATAATATATGGAAGAGGGCCGTTTAACAATGGTTTTAAGTGTACTTATTGAAGAAGTCCAGGAAAAAAAGCAAAGATAAGTTTAGGAAATATGATGACGCAGGAAGTCCAAGAGCCTTGAGACGACAGAGAATGTGAAGATGATATCTGGTAGATGTGACGAGTGTTCAGCTCAGTTTGTCATCTTTTATGACGCCGAGGAGTTTGGTATAGAATACTAAACCAGGAGGGTGTTGGGGTCCAGTGGTCGAAGGAGATGATCTGCATAACCATGATCTTGGTATGGTTGATGGTGATATGATTGGCGGCGGTCTAATATTAGAGACAGTTCAGTGTGTTCTGGAGGGTGCTGTATTCAGGAGCCGAACCCTAGAACTCATTATCTATTGTGTGGAGCATGCGCGTGTATGCCCCCTTAATGTGTCAGTCAACCGCCAGTTGGTATCAGATCGTCCTTGTCGCACCACGTGTGTCACTCCTAGGTGAACCAGTGGTCCTCCAGGTTTTGTGTGTCATTCCCACGTGAACCAGTTGCCCTATGATCTACGGATATTACTTCAAGATGAACCAGTAGTCTTCCGCACTGCATACAGTATATTACTCCCAGGTGAAGCAAGGATGTTACGCATTAGATGTGTTACTTCCAAGTGAATAAACGCTGCTCCAAGCTACGTCTGTCACCCTCAAGTAAACAAGGGCTCCACGCTACAAAGGTCACATTCGGGATGTAGAGTCCATCTATATTCACCTCAGTCTGAGGACAACTACCTTTCAGATAGTGACGTTACAAACACTTCAGTTGTTGGAAGGGATGACTGACACAAACTGTACTGATCACTACACTTCCCGAAACATAACCGAGAACGAAACACATTGTGAAAATGAAGCTTTCCTGCCGGTCCATCACACTGTGCTCAAAATGTTGATGCCTGTGTTGATGGTGTCTGCTATATTCACATCATCATGGGGTTTTAAGCTGCTCTATAAATCCCTGGCCATTGTAGATCGCATCGCTAAGACACAGAACATTTCCTTTATACTACTGATGGGCTCAGTCTTGTTCTTACGCGTTGTAAACACTGAAGATAAATACTTGATCTTTTGTTATGGTAAAGTCTTGAACATTAGCCTAATATTGCACCTCAACCACAGCAAGATACCTGCTCGTAATTCATCCCATTTACATGAGAAATAATAAACTCTCTACTCTATTTAACCTTGCTGTAGTCTTCTCCCTGTCTCTGACTATACTTCAAGCTACTGGACACACCATATGGCCGGGACGGTATATACGCATTTGTCTGGGTACACCTGTAGCTGAAAACCCTTGGAGAATTCCTATAATTATCCTGGAACTATTACTTGTCTTCTATTTCTACGGCCACATGTTCTACATCCTGAAGGTCAAAGCACAACATCGACAACTACCCAGACAATACAACACTCTGGTTTCCGTCGTTGCTAGCGTCGCTGCCTATGGCGTAATTATATGTGTGATCGCAACAACTGCCTCGCTCATTAATAGGGAAGGATGTATAAACAATTTTCACCTTGACTTATACTCGTTCCTCTTTTTTGTGCATGTCAACCTGATAACGCTGGCGTATATAATCCTCTCGAGAGATGTTAGGCGGTCAGCTGTAGATGATATCAAGTCAGTGGTCCGCCAGGTGAGGGATACTTGAGGGGGGGCAGTCGACCAGGGGGAACAGGTCAGGCACCGGTTATAAGCGTGGTCCAGTGGGCAGTAAGACCACAAGGAACACCAAGCCCAGTACCAGGAATCCCAGTACCAGGAACATCAAGTCCCGTACCAGGAACATCAAACCCAGTACCAGGAACATCAAGTCCAGTACCAGGAACATCAAGTCCAGTACCAGGAACATCAAACCCAGTACCAGGAACATCAAGTCCAGTACCAGGAACATCAAGTTCAGTACCAGGAACATCAAGTCCCCGGTACCAGGAACACTACAAACCCAGTACCAGGAATACTACTCTCAGTCCCAGGAACACACAAAAACACCACACCCAGTACCAGAAAGATCACGCCCAGTACCAGGAACGCCAGTGCCAGGAACACCACTACCAGGAACATCAAGTCCAGTACCAGAAACACCACTCCCGGTACCAGGAACACCACTCCCGGTACCAAGAACACCACTCCCGGTACCAGGAACACCACTCCCGGTACCAGAAACACTACTCCCGGTACCAGGAACACTACTCCCGGTACCAGAAACACCAATACCAGTACCAGAAAGGTCACTCCCAGTACCAGGAACGCCACTTCTAGTATCAGGAACACCACTCCCAGTACCAGGAACACCACTTCCAGCACCAGGAACACTACTCCCGGTACCAGGAACACTACTCCCGGTACCAGGACACTACTCCCAGTACCAGGAACACTACTCCGGTACCAGGAACACCACTCCGGTACCAGGAACACCACTCCCCCACTACTGCCAGGGTACCACACCACTCCCACTCCCCAGGTACCAGGAACCTACCACCAGTACTCCCAGGTACCAGTCACTCCCAGTACCAAGGTATCAGGAACACCACTCCCAGTACCAGGAACACCACTTCCAGCACCAGGAACACTACTCCCGGTACCAGGAACACTACTCCCGGTACCAGGAACACCACTCCCGGTACCAGGAACACCACTCCCGGTACCAGAAACACCAATACCAGTACCAGAAAGGTCACTCCCAGTACCAAGAACGCCACTTCTAGTATCAGGAACACCACTCCCAGTACCAGGAACACCACTCCCGGTACCAGGAACATTGTCTTTGAACAAAGACCAGACCTATCAGCTACTTTCACAACCCCAGCTACCGTCACAACCTCAGCTGTCGTCACAGCCCAGGCTACTGTCACAACCCCTGCTATCGCCACAACCCCAGCTTCTGTCACAACATCACCAGGACCTCATCTGTCAGATTGGGTCGAAGCTACTACACCACCCTCACCACCTCCTGCTACCACCTGAGATACCTCGTCCGCGAATTGCTGTTCGACACTACAAATGCCTCCAGCCCATAAGACCAAGTACTGATCGCTATAAGAACAGTCCTCAATCCACCATTGTAAAAATTATCAACAACTCGTAGATAACTTGTGTGTCCACTCTTAACCTAACCTGTACTCTTTTGCACTCCTGTCATTTGTATATTTCAGCTTATGGTTGCTGTAATTGTTAATAAACCGTTAATTAATATTATTATTATTAATATTTTTACATAATGTCTGACTATTTCTTATAACTGAGTTCAGGAATATTTCGTGGGTACGCTCATTATCCACAAAGCACTGCGAACACAAACTTTGCATTTTTTCTTTTTCATAACTTTTGATTGAATTAGATTTGACCTTTGAGGATAATTGAAACTCATTAATATCCAGTCCAAGGAAAACGAGCCTGATACTTTATTTAAATTTCACTATAGATACACTTGGACTTACTAATTAAATTGAAATCGATAAAAAAAAAAGAATTAGTATGTGGTAAGTAGTGTTTATGTGCCTTGAAATAATTTAACCCGTTTAGTTTCATTAATTAATCAAACTGAATCTTATCTTAGATGTTATAATTTATAGATTATCCAGTAAAGTTGAGAAAATATATACAACTCAATTTTCGATTAATAAGGAAGCAACATATTCACGTTTTCTTCAAGGTGAACAAAGATGTGTCGTTAATGAGTATAATTAAACAATAATAAGAGCAATATATTCTGACCAATTTATAATACTGTACTGTGCTCAATCTTCTGGCCAATTACGACAAAAGTTTTCCTGAATCCGAGACAAATCACCCTAATGAGTCTTAACAGCTAAGAAATTGTTATTGAATAGAATAAGATACAAAAGTCATTATTGTCATGGTAACTACGGTATCTCTCGTCGGGTGAAGGAAAACAGGTAGCGTTAAGTCTTATCGTGATTATCAGATATTCCTACACGCCAAAAAGAAGATGCATACACACGCCGACAACAAACATACAGTACTTACATACACCACCAAAACACACACACACACACGCACACAAACCTGACAACAGACAGATTTTGACTCCATTCATTCACATTATCTAATAAACGAATATTTCAGTGTAATTTATCTCTGGTTTATTTTGATATCCAATGCTGAATACATTAAGAGAGGAAAT